GCCGAATCATTATCCTATTTGGTAACCTGAGGATGAGGCACATAGTGCCGAATTGTTATCCTATTTGGTAACCCGAGGATGAGGCATGTAGTGCCGAATTGTTATCCTATTTGGTAACCCAAGGATGAGGCACGTAGTGCCGAATTGTTATCCTATTTGGTAACCTGATGATGAGGCACGTAGTGCCGAATTGTTATCCCTATTTGGTAACCCAAGGATGAGGCACATAGTGCCGAATTGTTACCCTTACTTGGTAGTATGCAAAAGCATAATTTTATTTATATATCTTATTTCTGTAATAATTATACCTTTGGCTACTACCAAAATTATACTATGTTTTAGAATTCTGAAACTCTTTCTCGCATATTTGATATCTTTGCATACTATCTAAAAAATTATACTATATATTTGGGTATTACCGATTTAGTACTTATTTGATAGTAGTCAAAAGCGTATTACTTAAAAATATTACTAATTTTTGATTACTTTTACCTACTACCGATTTAGTAAAGCATAATACTTACCTGGAACTTTATTTCAATCAAAATTATGCAACACAAAAATGCCCCTATAAGTTGAATACCTTCTATGAGATTTTTCAAAATATTGTTTTCAGATAGCACAAAAATCCCCTTTATATGATCTAGGTATTGGAATATTAATTTTTTATTTGAATTTTTCTGCATACTCATTGTAAGAGGTGACAAAAATCCCTTTACCCGGATATATAACTAGCTGAATGTAACAATTTCTCTCCACCAGAGATTATTACTTAACTAGATTGTATTATCTTGAACAACAGTTACACATATTCAATGAGAGCTAAAGAGTAGTCTTTTAGTTCTTTTTTGTGAGGAGTAGTAGGAATACCTAATTTAGCCTCAAAATTTCACTTGTGTTCCAAGAACTCAGCTTCATTCATGCTCTCGCACTCTTTTTTCCCCCTTTTTCCTCTCTAGTTCGGAAAAAGATTATGTGTTAAAGACTGGTTAATTATCAAAAGTGATGGCATTATTACTGTATGAGATCTCTTCTCCATTATCACTATATGAGACCTCTTCTTCATTATCATATACATGTATATCATAACAATAATTGTAATTAGATGTATCTATCATTGCATTTTCAATATCTCCTTGAAAGTATATATACTCATTTATAAGATCCCCTAACATTTCTCGTGAAAAGAAAAATATCATGTTTCTATCTCGAGCAAAGTATTTATTATATGTCATTGATAATGAAACAAAATCTTTATAAACACAGGAAATAACATCATTAAGACAAGATTTTAAAATCTTTCCTTTATACCATACTGATAGAGTATTATTAAAATGAGAAACCCAATTATTAAGTCGAAATGTATATAAATTACAGATAGCTCGAAACCCTTCAGAGCGCCAGACATGATTGACTGTAATAATCTTAAATAGATCCTCATCTTTAGAAAGATGGCTAAATATATTTTCCAAAATTTCTGGTACTAATAAAGCGTGTGTTGCAGGAGAAATAGCGTTAATATTCATAATTATTTTTCTGATTATCTATTAATATAACAACTAAATAAAAAGTTCTAGTTAATAAAATCTCAAATAGATAATTCCTAATACCTAGCCCACACACCCTGTAACCGATCACTTTTCCTCCCAAATCCCCATGTGCGTCTTACAAACCACATAACCGCAATAATTAATAGAGTAAGAAAAATATATGCCACAATAGGGATTGCCCCTCTCCCGGGACCAGGTCCCATCTGGGTATTCGATTCAATCAAAGGGGACATATGTGCTTTAGCACTAGCTCCGCTATTATTTTCTGGCTGTACAAGTATATTGTTGTTAGTTTTACTAATATCGATTTCACCACTTACCTTGGAAATAATCTCAGTATCTACACTTGGATATGAGTCATAGCCTCGAATTACTGGTTCCTCAGGTATAGAGGTACTTTTATCATCAGTGTGGTCCGGTATATCAGTATTGATTTTTCCAGCTCGATCCATACTTTTTTCACGTATAAAATATTGACTGAGATCTCTACTAGGTATATCAGATGCGATAGCGTCATCACTCCGTGAGACAGAATTCGGTATTTTTTTTTCATCTGCCTCACCGCCGATCTTGATTGGTTCTGACGATAACTTGGATTCTAAGGAGTGTATCTCTGAAGTTTTCAAGGCCAGATCATCTTTCATTTGTTTCAATTCGTCATCTTTCGAAGCCAATGCATTCTCCATATGCACCAATTCACTATTTTTCGAAACTAGAATAAAATTCAAGGCAGATAACTCGGCTCTAAGGGGGTCAATCTCAGATTCTTTCATAGACAAGTCCTTCTGAGCTGAAGATAATTTCGTCTCCAATGCCTCCATCTTAGATAAGAAATCTTTCATTTCTTTGGATTTTGTACGAATATCAGCCTCGAAATCACTAAGTGAAAGATCTTTATCAGTGATACGGGATTTGAGAGTATCTATCTCTGAGCGCAGTCGCATAACCTCATCTATAAGCTGATATACATGCTTGAAGAGTTTCTCATTATTGCTACGTAATTGATCATTCTCCTTATTGGTATTTTTGCTATGGTTCGAATATACCACTTGCATATTTTTATATTCACTAGTAATTTCGGAATTGGACTTGATACTATCACGTAATGCCTCCTCGAGTTCTTGTTCGCGGGCATTACCAAGCCTATACCCCTGTCCTTGTATTTTTTTGGACTCCATGCTCTTGGTATCTTGCAATGTACGCACCTTGGCCATATTGTTTTTTCATATATTTGAAAAATAAATCAATACCAATAGCTGAAAATATTATCAACAGAGTTTTTTCAATTCATGCTAAGATATAATGGAATATGATGAAATATATGAGAACATTTCGAAACTTTTCTGCATGTATTAATATTTCTATATTTTATACTAGCTTTGCTGAAATACTTCATTATGGGGCGCATTCATAAAGAATACTATAGTGCTAATGCAACATATCTATCTGATGAGGCAATCAAAGAAATCAAAGGGTCATTGGGGAAAGTATCCGATGCCATAAACACAATGGCAAAAAAAATACTGCATATCTCATACTCGTGTTCAAGAATACATAGAAAATCGTGAACGTAAGCAACAAATGATATACCCTCAATCATCTAAGATACGAAGTGCCGATTTTCCTGAAATAGAATCTATGTCTAAAAATATTTCAAATGGACATATAAAAAATAGGAAATCCAAATCCAAATCCAAATCCGTTCTTATTCCTGATCTAACAGAAAAGGTTGGTGGAATATCGGAAGCAAAAAAAGAAATCATATCCTCTTCATTACCCAATATCTCGCAAGATAGTGAAGACGTTTTGGATTTATATAATAGAAGTCAAAAAGAGCAAAAAAAGGTTAGAGCGAGTGGTCAAATTCTTGCTTCTAAATTAATTGTTCCTTAGATTCATATCGTTTACGCAAATCATTATTATATGCAATCATTTCAAAAACAGATTGAACACTGGTTAACAATGCCTTTTCGAGATCTTTTTCTCGGTTTGATTTATTCTCACAATTTACGCAATTTTTTTTTAACTCTGTATCTGTATCTTCAGAAATAGATGAAATTGCATTAACGTGATGTACCTCAATCTTATTTTCAACCTTGTGCATCGTAACTGGGATGATGAAATCTTTTCCATTGCAATGAAGCTTCATTTCGGATTTAGCCCAATCCATCGCACAATCATGTTTTTTAAGGAAGGGATTACTCAATATAACCATAGACTTTTCGTATTCAATAACTGCAAAATCTAAATGAAATACACAGCCGGGAGCTAGGGTTAATGGTACATTATAAACCATTCCAATAGATTTGGTTAGGACAGTGGATGCCCCCTTGAAATAAAACGTCGTACCTTTATCAATTTTCAAACCCAATCGCTCAGCAATGTCCCTAGACATAAGTAAAGTATTTGAGCAAGAATCGACTAAAATTGCCGAAAGTACTAAACGTTTGATTTTACCCCACACAGTCGCAATATCTATCACATCTTTATCCCGAACAAAGTTAATTTCCATATCTTCGATAACTTCTTCATCCTCAGTATCTTCGCTTTGTTGAGAAGAAGTATCATTTGTGGTACTAGGTTTCTGAAAATTTCGTAAGATTTTACTTATAGCCTCCTCTAATAAAGTGGAATTTATAAGCTCACTTTGAATAATTTCACGAATTCGTCGTTCCAGTAAAGTTGAAGTGGGATTTTGTGATACTTGAGGAGAAACTTGAATCTCCTTACCCTCTGAAGAATATGCATCTTCCTTGTCTTTGGATCGGGATTGTTTGTTGGATATTTTCTTAATGAGTTCTCTAGGTCGATCTACTTTTTTTTAATTCTGGATACATTAACATTTGATTCTTCACTAAGTGCATTATCATCAAATTCACCATCATCTTCTTGATCGGAAATAGCAGATTCATTAGGGGTTTCTTCCATATCACAGCTATTATCAAATTGATCTTGTGAGAACCCATCGGCGAAATTCACACGACCAGCTCTTTTCCTAGAATTATTAACCATCATATTCTTAATTATAGAACAACTGCGATAAGTATGACCTAGCTTTTTACAAATCTCACATTTGCGTTAAGCTTGTCTAGTACTTAATCTAGGACCTCTAGCCAGATTTATTGTCGGACTTTGTGAATTGGACAACCCTTCAAGCTGATCTATTTTATTCACAACATTGATTATCGCGTAATCAATTTCCATCGGTTCAAACACTCTATTATCCTCAGCCTCAAGACCCATTTCTGCATAGTTTTTCAATTCCTCGTAGTATTTGGCTTTCTCAGTTTTGGGGTGAAAATTGTGTTGAAATGGCTGGGATTCTGGTGGTTGGAATACTGGCTGTTGAACGATTTGCTGAGGCGGTTGGAATGCGGGTTGTTGAACGATCTGCTGAGGCGGTTGGAATACTGGCTGTTGAACGATCTGCTGAGGTGGTTGAAAAGTCGTTCCATTCATACTATTTGCATTTCCGTAATTAAACGAAGAAGGCCTACGTTTAAGCCACAAATTTTTGAGATGAGTAAAGAATGCATTAATATCCGTGGGATTTGCACGTTCCATCCTGGTGAAAAGTTCATTTGGTAAATGATCCATAATAAATGACAAGGCATTCGCATCGTTGTTAGCAACACCCAATATTAGGGGGCGTATCCTAGTCTCATAAGTTTCTGGCGTATCATTAGGTAAAAATTTTTCGTATGCTAATCTCTGGAGAGCAACTTGTTGTGATCCGACCGTTTCTGTCTGATATTTATGACGCAACCATGCAATAAAGCGAGCTGGAGTATCAATATTATTTCCAGCAT